ATTAGAATGATCAAGTGTTCTGGGATTCCCATTCTTCTCAGCGTCAACCATAGTTTGTTATGATCTACACAGTCAAATGCCTTTGCATAGTCAATGAAATACGGATAGACATTCCTCTGGTATTCCCTGCTAAGAAGTTTAGAAAACATATTTCTATTGAAATGGATTTAGTGGTCAAATGATTTGTCACTTTATTTCAGGCCAAAATTGAGGTTGAATGCTCTGTTTTTAACAAAGTTAGTGAATTTCAACAAACAAAACTGATCCTTCTTTCTAGTAACTTTAAATCCACAGGAACAAAGATAAAGACTGCAATTCCACAAAATCAAACTCATTCCTGTTGACTCAGTTCTGACTTGTAGTGATCTTTGAGGAAAGGCTAGAACTTTCCCATAGTTTCCAAGGCTGTCAATCTTTTGGAAACTGGCTGCCCCATCTCCTAGCTGTGGTATGGCTGCTTGATTCCAACTGCTCTCCTTCTGGTTAGCAGCTGAGTTTTGATAAAACCAGTATATGACCAGAGATCCTGGAAAGCAATTAGAAGGGCAGAAATAAAACTCTAAATTTAACCTTGTAATACTGGCCACGTCTCTTGATCTTAACGCAAAGAGAGAGGATGAATGGAGCTTAAGAAAAGCTAGCAGAAAGATGAATGATGACATCTTCTTAGTTTGAAATGTGTGAGAAAGTAGAAACACTTCTAGATCAGAAGACACTTTGACAATTTACAACGAATTAGCCACCACTTGCTGCTTATTGTTTTTAAGTTGAGCACGACTCATAGCTTCCCTACCAACTAAAGGCCTGAAGCCTTTCTATAATTGTCATTGTTTCTCCAAGTTCATAGAGTTTTCAGAGGCGTATGATTTAGGAAGTGGATGCCAATTCTGCTTCCAAACCTGTCTTAAACTGGGAGCTCCACCAAACGCTGTCCACCATGGGTAGAGATTATGGTGTTTGGCACACGTGTGACATAGTTGTTCCATTATGGCATTTGAAATCCAACGGCACAAGACTCAGTGTCACAGTAAACCCAGATTACCTCATCACAGAAAACTGGCCAGAGTGCTGTATGACTTAAAAGAATGTTCCTCCAAAATATAGGAACAAGGGATTAAAATATAATCTCTCAAACCCAACTTTTAAATATAAGGGCCAAGAGGGGTGGGAGAGGATGGAAGCTGAGGAATGAGGATGCGAAGGGGAAGGGGTGATTAATTATGGGGTTGTACAATTTGATGGGGGCAGGGTGAGGGAAATGGAAAGAATTTATTCTTTTTTTTTTGCTTTTAAAAGATTTCCTTTTATTCTGGAACAGAAATTGGAGGAAGGACAGTAATTCATTCAGAAAACAATAATGCAACTCAGGTTACTTTACATTTAATCACCACTCAAAAAGTGGACATATAAAGCAGGTGATTATTGTGTGCCCATCACTACACCAGCTATATAGATGAGAGTCCAGATTTTAATTACACAACACTTTCTCTGTTACCAGAAGCTAAGACTGCTCTGCGATATATAGGACAGGTAGAATTCTCAGATAACCAGCGATCAATGCAGTGAACATAGTATTCATGAGAACAAGGTAGTTTATGGAGTTTGTTGCTTTCGGTATGGTCTGTAATACAAACACTGCAAGTTTTCAATGCATCATTTTCACCAAAACTTCTCATTGCCAAGTTGTCAATTTGTTCTTTGGTGAGTCCTCTAGGTTGGTCATCATCATCCTCATTTAAGAGGAAAAATTGAGCCAGACTAAGGAAAGGCAAAGAACCACTTTCATCAAATGTTACTGGAGCCCTATGCCGACCCTCTCGTCTGGCACCTGATGATGAGCTTCCTTCATTACTGCCTTCAAACACATCTGAACTACTTTCTGAACTTTCACCATGGAAAGTAGAACTAAGCCTAGTACTGAAACTTGAACTAGAACTGCTCCCACCACCAGAACCCCCTCTTCGTCCATCCTGTGACTCTGTCCTTTCTACATTTCGACTTGGGACAGAGCCACTAGTTTCTGAATCACTATCACTATACATAAAGTAGCTTAATTCACCAAAACCTGCCATTATCTGCCTTAGCATGGTCTGAATGGCAACAGATGTAGTTTCACTTAACCCAGTATTTGAAATTCTACGAATAGGAATTCTGATGGCACTGACATAGGTTCTTACACCTGCTTGCTCAGAACGTGAAAATGTATGCCTAAAACCTCCTCGTTCACTTTCATAAGTGACAGTGTTGTTTGGTGTCTGAGACCTTGATCGAGTTCTGCTAGCTATGCTATCTCTCTGCCGATTTTCTCCGGAACGAACTCTTCTTACTTGAAGATCAAGAACTATTGTTGGTGGTCTCTGTCCTGATCCTGTAGATTCACGACTGCCAGTTGTATCTGAAGAACCTGTACCTTGGGAACCATTTCTTGTTCCAGAAGCTGGAAAGAGACCCCTGCTCAGCAACTCCTGTCCAGTTATTTGCTGTCTCAATGTCACATGGTGTCTGGTTCTAGAACTTCCCTCAGCTTCATTTAACAAAGGATGTTCAAAAGTCTGAGATGAGATATTATGATGAGATCTTCGTGGAATTTCACTCATTGATTGCAGGGGTGATCTACTTCTTTCAGCCCTTGCTCTGGTTCTTCGATGGTCTGGGCTTCTGCTTCTCGCCCTTCTCTGACCTCTAGTAGGTGGGACTTCTGCCATTAATGCTTCAGTTGAATTTCGTTCTAATCTAGATGGCCTTAGAGATGTCAATTCAGACCGTGGATTTTCCAGTTGCCTTTGGGTAATGTTTTCCATATTTTCTCCACTAGAATGTCTTAAAGATGGCTCATTTTTGTTCTCTGGATTTTGGTTCCCACTATTACGGTTAACACTTATCTCTAAACTGAATCTGAAATCACCACTGTTTGGATTAGTCCGGCTCACTGCTCTCCAAGATTGGCTTCCTCTCTGTCCACTTCTTGTTGTATTTCCAGTTTGTCTGACAGAGTTAAGCCAGTTTATTATAGAGTCACCATTAGAGACATCATCTGAAGAGTCTCCACCTCTATTTTCATCTGGGTTTTGTGGTGGTGGAGGTCCCGCTTTAATTTGTTGTAATCTTCTCAACAACTCATCTTCAGTACTTTCACCTGGGGTGACTAGCAAATTGTTATCCCTCATAAGTCTATACTCTTCTTCACTCAGGTTATTTACAAATTGATAGAAAGCTTCTTCCCGATCCAATTGGTCCATCTGACTTCTGCGTTGTGCGGCAGACTGATCACTACTTCCTTTATCGTTGGAATCTGAGTTTTCCATCTTGTTGAACAAGTGGAAAATTATCGGACCGTTATGACATAGTACTGAAATACAATAAACTGGATTTTAGTTTTCTTCACTCTATGCTTCAGTTTTAGTATCAGGACTCGACCAAGAATTTATTCTTAAAAACAATGTATTAGAATTTTATAAATAAACTGGTAGAAAAAAAACCCAACCAAAAAAATGACCAAAAAAACACCTATGACGCTTTAATAAAAACAACCAAACAATCCATACAAATCCTCAACCAAAACAAGAACAGCATCTTACAGACTCCAGCCACTTCATCCAACTCTAAAATGGAGACATGGGCTTTGGTGTTTCATGCTGTTGTTAAGTGCCACCTAGTTCCAAACCTATAAACAAAAACACCTATTGTCCTTCTTCTAAGTTTATAGAGTTTTAACAGGCATCTTTAGAAAGTGAATGCCACTCCTGCTTCCAAGTCTGTCTTAATCAGTGAGCTCTAGAAAACGTTGTCAACTATGTGTAAACATTATGGCACACCGTTCAGTATCACAGCAATCCAAAGTTACCTCAATACAGAGAAAGGACAGAACAGTGCTGTACCACTTAGGAGAATGTTCATTTCAAAGACAAATTAAAAAAACCAAAAACAACCAGGTGAAAATGGCAAATCTTTTGGACTATTGAAAATGAGCCAAATATTTCTAGCCAGCTCTGGAAAAAATCCATTAATGTATCAAAAGGCTAGGGTGAATAACTGAAAATGAGAAAAAGGGATAAAGAAGAAAGATAAGGAACAGAGGTTTGTGAGAGGAAAGACTGAATGAACTGAGCTGAGGAACCAGTTTCACATACCTGAGAACTTAATCAGTTAGGTCAATAGTTTAGCAAAATAAGCTGAATAAAAACTTATAGAAAAACCTTATAAGGTAGCTTGTCTCAGATTTCTCTCAGTAGGACCGGGATAGATATTTGCAAACTCTGTTCAAAATCTGTCAACTCCAAACCATTTGCATATTTTATTCCTCAGTGCAAAATTTTAATATGTAAAATTATATTTTTCAGCTTTAGTGGCGTCCGAGACTCAAAAGGGAAGAACTCACTCAGTATTTCTCAAGCTGAAGTAACTAAAGAACCAGCTCAAGCATTAGTTACAATACTTAAGAATGCTATGGCAATATATTGAATGATCCAGGAAGCATCAAAAAAAGATGAAAAAATACACAGAGTCATTGTACCAAGAATCATTGGCTGGCACAGAACTTTTTTCAGGAAGTAGCATATAATCAAGAACCGATGATGACAAAGGAGGAAGTTCAAACTGTTCTAAAGGAATTGGCAAAAAAAAGGTCACAGGAATTGATGGAACACCAACTAAGATATTTCAAAAAAGATGCAGCTCTGCATGTGCTCACTAGGTTGTGCCAGCTACTTGGCCAACTATCTGGAAGAGATCCATATTTATTCCCATTCCATAAAAATTCATCCTACAGAATGTGGAAATGATTGAACAGTATCATTAATACACATGCAAGCAAAATCTTGCTGAATATGGTAAATAAACAATAAATCATTACATTGAAAGAGAACTATCAGAAATACAAGTCAGATTTAGAAAAGGACTTATGCACTAAGGATACCATTGATGATGTCAGATGAATCATGGCTCAAAGTAGAGTGTACCAGAAGGATGTCTATTTACATTTTATGCAAAGAAATTTGACTGTTTGAATCACAATAAAGTGTGGCTAATGCTGAGAAGAATGTAAATCCTAGAGCACTTGATTGTGCTTATGTGAAACTTATATCTAGACCAGCAAGCTGCTATCCGAGCAGGACAAGAGAATATTACATGGTTCAAAATCAAGAAAGGAGTGTCTCAGACATGTATCTTTTCTCCATACCTATTCAATCTATATGCAGAACAGATAAATTCTGGAGGCTGAACTTTATTAAGAAGAATGTGTCATTGGGATTGGAGGAAGATTCAACAACAATCTGTATTATAGAGATGACATAACCTTGCTCACTGAAACTGAGGAGAACTTGAAGTGTTTGGTGTAGAAGGATAAGACTACAGCCCTCAATATGGATTGCATCTTAATATCAAGAAAACGAAGATCCTCACCGTTGGACCAACAGGCAATATCATTATAGATTAAGGCCTGGAGTTGTTAATGATTTAATCTTATTTGGATACATAGTCAACATTCTTGGACATCCCTGCTCTTTATTCTTTCTTATTCTGGAAGATCCCCTGAAACTTGTTGATAGTGAGTGACCTTACCGGTACTTGAAATATTGGTGATATTGCTTTCTTCATCATAGCAACATGCAAACCACCACAGTACGATTGATAATTTCATAGGGTAGACCAGTTATATTAAGAAATAGAAAGAACAATAAGAAATGGAATGTTTTTATATAGAGAGGAACAAGTTGATTAGAATTGGAAAGCTGTATCTGAGCTTCTGGGAGGACAAGAAAGGCAAGACTGAAATTTCATTTGGCACTAAACAGAGTATAAGTGAGTAAAGAGAGAGACTGAGCGCAAGGCAGACTTTAAAGCAGATGGGAAAGTGGCCAGGGGAATGTTTTTCATTTTTACATACCCAGCCATTCTGAATTCCTGGAATGAAAATGTAAAGATAATCTCATCCCAAATGATGAGTAGGACGTCAGGATGCAGTTATTACCAGGGTGAGATTCATCTCCTGCCAAAGTGTGAATTGCTAATGTTTTGGATAGCCTGACACAATAATGAGGATGCAGTGTATTGTATCTATATATCTTTCAATGCCCACAAAGTTGGAAAACATGTTATTCTTCTTTCAGGAAACTGGGTGTTGGCAGTGGAAGTGGGAGAAGGACGAAAAACGATACTTTAAGAGTATTTCAAGGGTCCTTAAATAAAAACAGTTAAGGCACCTGTTTAGAAGTCTGTCAACAGACACCTCAAAAGAAAAGTCTAGTCATTTACTTTAGAAAAATGGCATATTGAAAAATCTTATTGAACTCACAGTACTCTGAGATATTTAGGGTCACCAAGAGTTGGAATTCACGACATAGAAGCTACTTTAAGTTGACTCCACTCCATGTGAGCAGAGTCTCAACTGTGCCTCATTTCTCTGCCACCTGACTTAGCACCGGAAGAAAGAGAGAGAAATGGTTATATATA